GAATTGTACAGGATCCTTGTCGCCCTGGAGTCAGAGATGCAGTTAGACTCTGCACAGATGCTGGTGTTAAGGTACTAAAGAAATTAGAAATCGACAATGAAGTGAATCAAAGTATGATTGGAAATGATAAGAAATAATGGAAAAACATATGGTAAGGGTTATTTTTCGTCCAAATGGCTATAACTTTCTGAAAGGGAACACACGTGATAACATAAATATCAGCCAAATAGGGAAAGAGCCTGCTTATCACGCTTGTTCTCATTAGTTTTGTAGTTCTGATAAGCAGAAAATCCATGTTTGGATACGAAATGGATCCCTAATGAATAGAACTTTGAAACGGTGTGATCTATTATGGTGGTAAATCTGAACATGTAGTGATAAGACAGTCCCCATTGCAATTGCATTTCAGATGTAGATGTGCTATGTTATGGTTATATTTAAATTACAATCTTAGGTGAAGGATTAGTTGGTGATGACTCTTTACATGAACCTTTAGGTGCGCATGGTTACCGGAGATAATATTCAAACAGCTAAAGCAATAGCTTTGGAGTGTGGGATTTTATCTCCTGATGCAGATATTACTGGGGATGATGTAATTGAAGGGAAGACATTCCGTGAGTTGCCTGAAAAGGAGCGAGAAAAAGTTGCAAAGAGGATTTCGGTTAGTTATACAATCCATAAATTTGTATAGTCTCAGACCCAATCATGCTCAAGGAACTAGTCTGTCTTCACCTTAATAAATCCTTAATATAAATCTACTCAATTCTTAGGTCATGGGAAGGTCATCCCCTAGTGACAAGCTTTTACTTGTGCAAACACTGCGTAAACAAGGAGAAGTTGTTGCTGTTACTGGAGATGGAACCAATGATGCTCCAGCACTACACGAGGTTAGTTTCCCTTTTTTGTTTTCTCGCTGATCTCTTCTTAAGGAATGTGAGTCTGAGTTGTTGTTGACTTAGTAGGTTAGTATCCTATTTAATCAGGAGCTCTTAGAGCTTGGATCACACTACATTGTGTTTTAGTTCACACAGTCATTCTTTTTGTTATTTACATGGGTGTTTTACCCAGTTTAACTCATTACGTAGTAAAAACTAATTCGTATCTTTTTGATTTGCACAAATTTGTTTGTAACATCAAATATGTGATCTTAATATTCGAATTTTTTTCTTTAAAGATGTAATGATTTTGTGTTTTCTTTGATTTTGATTGCGAATATTTTTAAAAATGGTTTTGTGTGTGTCAAAATGCAGTTCGCTTGTAAAGTTCAAAGACACGAGACACAACTGACATTTTTGTTGAAAAAGTGTGTCAATTTTGTGTCTGAGCTATCGTGTTATCATATTTATCCTGTCAAGAGTGATAGTTTAAAATGGATAGACTTTGCGTACACTTTCCGCTCTTTTCTATGTTTTAACAGTATTGCATTAGCTATAATTACTGCTGTATAAATGTTTATACTCTATTTATCTTGGAAATAATCTCTCTACTATCAAGTAGGGGTAAGGTCTGTGTACATACACCCTCCCCAGACCCTACTTTTGTGGGATTATACTGGGTTGTTGTTGTTCTTGCACATCTTGCGGGGATTTTATATCCCTTTCCTTTTAATGTGTAGGCTGATATAGGTCTTGCTATGGGCATCCAAGGGACTGAAGTTGCAAAAGAAAGTTCAGACATCATCATTCTAGACGATAATTTTGCTTCAGTAGTCAAGGTTGGTAAATACCTTAAAGGTTTGAATAGAAGTTCATGTCCTAGTTATCTGGGTGTGACTGAAGAAATATCAAGGTGACCATTAACGTTTAAAAAAAACATGAATGTAGGTTGTACGTTGGGGTCGTTCTGTTTATGCAAATATTCAGAAATTCATCCAGTTCCAGCTCACAGTCAATGTTGCAGCTCTTGTTATTAATGTTATAGCCGCAATTTCATCTGGAGACGTTCCTTTAAATACAGTGCAGGTCTTCCTCTTTTTTTTATTTTTCTCTCAACCTCTTTTATCAATAAAAGAGAAACAGTGTGCCTTTTACCAATCTTTTGTTGTGTTTTTTTGGTATTTTGCCCCTTTATTTTTTTCCAGCTTCTTTGGGTGAATCTTATAATGGATACTCTGGGAGCATTGGCACTGGCTACTGAACCTCCAACTGACCATCTGATGCATAGACATCCTGTTGGTCGAAGGCAAAGATACAACTTTCATATTTGTTTTTTCAAAGACTTTTTTTACGACTTTTTGCTTACAATTATGTCTTGCAGGGAGCCGTTGGTAACCAATATTATGTGGAGGAACTTGATTATTCAGGTCAGTGGCCTTCAATCCTTCATTTTTTCTGCATCCCTTTTGTTCAGTTTTTTTTGTAAAGAAAATAATAAACCCTGGGCACTTTTTTTCGATCCATTTGGCATTGGGCAGGCTTTCTACCAAATTTGTGTCCTCCTGGTTATAAACTTTTGTGGCAAGAGTCTTCTTAACTTGGAGCAGGATGGAGCAGAACATGCTAACATGGTGAAGAATACCTTAGTCTTCAATACCTTCGTTCTCTGCCAAGTAAGTCCATCCTTAACCTAAACTCCAAAAGGAAATTACTAATTCAGTCACCATGGAAAATGTTAAATTAGGGGAGTTAGTAGCCTCAGCTTCCTGGCCTAACTTGTTGCATTTCAGATATTCAATGAGTTCAATGCTAGAAAGCCCGATCAAATGGATGTCTTTGAAGGCGTGACGAAAAACCCTCTCTTCGTTGGGATTGTGGGATCTACTTTTATACTCCAGGTCAGATCTTGTCTTTTTTTTTTAAGTATTTGCCTCTGCTGTGTGTGTGTGTGTGTGTGTGTTTGGGGCAACAGGTGCAAGTCTATCATCTCTCTCTTTTTTTCCCTTATGTGTTTTTTTATGGTGTCAAATCAACAATGTTTTTTGCGTGTTTGCGTTTTGGAGACAGATTGTGATGATTGAGTTCCTTGGAAAGTTCACTTCAACTGTCAGACTCAATTTCAAACTTTGGTTGATTTCCCTCGTCATTGGGGTTTTGAGGTAAGTAATACCCCATTATATACTCCCCTGGACCTATTGATAAGTGTGCTCTAGAAGAATGTTTTTATCCTTTACACAAGAGATTTTGATGGTTTTGAGGTGAGTAGAAAATTTTCTTCCCAAAATAAAATACATCTGTTCTTTAAAGCTTTGGAAGTCATCTTTTTATGTCTTTTCTCACCTTTAGGGGTAAATTTGGGTAATTTATAAATTTATCTTTAAGCTATTACTCCTTACTTCATAACAAGTTTTCTTTGTATTGTTGAAGTTGGTAAAAATACTTGCTAAATAGAAATAGAGTATATTCGATGTGCAACTCCCATTTCATCATTATTAATACAAGGTGGGGAGTAATAACTAACATCGTATGCATTAAAAAATCTGGTGCAGCTGGCCGCTTGCGATGCTAGGCAAAATGATTCCAGTTCCCAAGACCCCATTGGCAAAGGTGTTCATCAAACCCTATCGCCGATGCATTGCAGCTCGTGATACTCCTCAATAGTTGGCATAATCGGTAAAGTTTGTTGCTTATGTATATGGCCGTGACACTAGCTTAACTATATAGTTGGAATTCAATACTAAAAAAAAGGACTGAAAAGACTAAAGAAAATACACACTTTATATAGTGCGCCGACATCTTCAATAGGCATTGCACATCTATACATGTTTTCTGTTCTTTTTTCTTAATGTAAAAAAAACATAAGAATCTTAAGTGTAAATGGAACGTTCATTATAAGTATATTCTAAGCCTGTTTTGTTATTTGTTCATTGGCATTGAAGCTAAAAATGTCATTTTGACTATTTTAGGGTTGTAGCTTCGAATAAATAATAGACGAAACCAAAATGACACTTCTTTCTATGAATTTTTTTTAACAAGAGTAGCATAAACCACTTTTCTGTGAAGTTGGAATTTACGGTTTATACTAGCTTGTTGTATTTGTGGGTTTAGTCGAGTGCTCTGCTATATACCCACTTCATTTTGAATCCTACACATGATTATAGCTTTATATAGTTAGTCCTATACCGACTATACGGCTTATGTCACCTTCGTATCTATTGCCAGGGGGGCAGGGGGAGTTGAGTAATTTTGCACTCTTAGATAATAAAAAAATCCAAGGGTGGAGATCTCCTTTGAAAAATATGCTGTTCAAATTGGCCCAACTGCATCTACCCTGGAAGGAAAATTAGTTCTAAATCAAAGGAGATCCTACACCCTTAGTTGAAAATCTAAAGGTGCAGAATCGGTGGAGTAATGATAGGGACACGAAATGAATAATGACTGGGAACACTACAAAACAATACTTCCTCTATTCCATAAAAATGTTCCACATTTCCTTCTTGGTCCGTCTCAAAAAAGATTTAACTTTTAATTTTTGAAACGGCTTGTGGCTTTTATTTTTTCTCTTCTTTGCCTCGTTTTTAATTATACAACTTTATTTTTCTTAATCTCCAAACTTGGTCAATTGTGGAACATTATTGCAAGATGAAAGTAGTATTTTAGTGATATGTTTTTTTGTGCCCCTGAAATTAATTAATTGTAAACTTCTTATATTCAGCAAGAACATGATGGTAAATCATCTAAAATATGAGTATCTTTTAGATAGAATATTAACATTGTTCACACTTATGAACAATAAATATAGTATTTAAAAAATAAATAAAGACTTAGATACCCGAGCTCATTACCTAATTAATTAACGAACCCTATCAGTTTTCAAACGATAATAATGCCACATGAGACGTCAAACTTACATCGTTTTAATACATGAGCCCCACCTGAAGTCCTAAGCTCATGCCACTAAAATGCCATGCATAATAATAAGATTACTGCAACAACTTGAGAGAGATAATTGATGGACAAAAAGAAAGAAAGAAAAAAAGAGCACTAAACACGGTGTCCAAATCCAAATAACGTTGTTCCACTTAAGAATAAATAAAATACCCCGTATTACAACATTACATTACATTACATTCCGCAGCACCGGGGAGCGGTTTGTTCAATCTTGATCCTCTTCCACAACTTGAAGAAGAAGAAAAACAAAAAAGAAAGAGAGATATTTGACGGGAAAGTGTACAGCCAGACCTGATTGCCGCTGCCTATGAAACGTAGGGCTTTGTTTTGTTTATGACAGGGGTGGGGTGAGTTGCACCAGCAAACCAATTGACTCTAGCAGAAACATGAATACGCAAAGTGGTTCTTCTCCGAGACATAGTGAGAAACGTAATTGGTGTGAGAGGCAAAGGATGGAACATTCTCTGATGGAACAAGAATCTGAGTCTTCCCTGAAGCAATCCTCTTGCCAGCCACATTTGCATAGAACAAGCCTGAGATGGCCGGTACAAACACATCGCTCTCTGAGCATATGTACATGTCTATAACCTTCTCCAACTCCGCAACGTCCAGATACTTTGCCTTTTTATCAATAGGCATTATGCTTTCCTGAAATATATTTTTTTGGATAGAGAGGATATTAAATGAGAATAGTGATGTCAATGGATATCTTTTTTTTCCACATAAGAACAAATTAAGCAATGATGACTTTATTCATGGACGGGTGGAGGGAGCAATTTCTTCGACACTATTTTGTTAGGTGATGGGGAGGAGGATATAATGACCGAAGAGACCTTACCTTGGTGTAAGTTTTCGGGAAGAACTCCTTCAATGAATCAAGGCTACTATCCCACCGGGCTTGAGTCAAATATATAACTGTGTCCCTCTTAAACCCGAGTTTCGTCAAAAAATCAGCAATCTCCTGTGGACCGTAGCAACTCTTTGCTCCAGGAGACCCACTTTCTTGGCAACTTCTTTTCTCCAAAATGTCTACCCTTAGGTCCACCGCGACGAATTGTCCAATAGACTTCTGACTTAATGTTCTTAATCTCTCGACCATTGAGTCAATTACTTCGCGTACGTCTGGTTGAAGTTCTAAGGTCCCAAACATGCCCAGACAAGCAATTGAGTCTATGTTTTTCTTTTCTGAACTCTTCTTCATATTCACTGAAGGAAAGTAGGTCACAAGCCTTATGTTTCCCTTCTCCCTAAAAACCGGTTCAATGTTTTCTGCAATTTCTTCTTCAGTAGGCCGACTTGGAACCTTAACTACGGCAAGGTTCCTTGCAGAGATCCCAGTCGGCAGAGATGTAACTACTTTGACTACTCCGTCAAGACTTTTCAAAAACTTTTCAGTACTGTATACATCTTCGAAGTCCCTGAAAAATGAGAAAGTGACCAAACCATCAGATTTTGTCACAAGCACTTGTGTGACTTGTATCTTCCCCTCATTAAGTGGCCAACCACTATTTTCTTTAGATCAATACCTAATACATTACAACCGAAAAAACTACAAATGTAAGCTAATATTTGGGCTTCACACTTATTTTGCATAAAATACATATTTGGTCCTCCAAATTTGGACCTCATATGGTTTTTGTCTAAAAACTAAAAAATATAACTGTTAAGATTTCATCCATCTCACTGTTAAATACCATGAGGCACTATGTGGCATGTAATAGTTCGAGCTAGAAAACAGTATTTGCACATACCTTTTATCACCAGGATCGCTTCCCCGAACATCTGGGAGCACAAGGGTTGCACGTAGGTATCTCGCAACTACTACAGCATCAGAAATCTGTGAAGAGGATTAGTGGATAACCACCACAGGAAGAGGCAAATCAGTTAGTTGAGGAGTGCAGAGAAAGACTTTCAGAGAGATAACTTAGGAGGATAACCAATAGTTTCTGTTTACAGTAGGATTTCTCTCAAGATCTTTTTGGACTCCATTTATATAATTTAGATTTCTGTTAAATGGGCACTCCATTTAAAGGAAATCCTTCATTTTGCCTTGCTTAAGATGAATGCACACTCGGAAAAGCAATGTTATTGACTAATTCCGTCTAACATGCGATAGAGATAAAAAAACAGAAGTTGAACCAATTTGGATACACGAAGTGGCCACATAAGAGATTTATTGAGATTATGCAGTAATGGTGGATGAAAAAGAATAAGTGACGCCATTGATATGATGAAATGAAACAAAAAGAGAATAAGCGTACCTGTGAGATGTGATACTCAGGACCGTTTGTCAATGAGAAGGTAAGATATCCTTGGGATTGACCTTCCTCCTCTATTGGCAGGTTGCAAATGAAAGAAAGACAGAACATTTTTATTTTAATGGTTCAAGAACACAGATAAAATTAAAGCACAGGACTCCCAAATGATACGAAAGTCGCAGTAACTTACCCAAAACCGGTTTACTCCAGCACGGCGTAAGGAATGCATCATCACCTTTCCAAGGTCCATCCCCTCCTGGAAGTGACAGTTCTGAGGTTTTGCTAGTGCCATGAATGCTCACCTTAATATTAAAAAATGGGCAATCGACATGAAAACCAGAACCATTAAAACTTGCATCACATCAATTCTTGGAGAACAAATAAATTTCCTCTTCAAATTTTTTGTACGGATTTGCAGTAAGAAAAGTCAAGTGAAAGAGAATCAAAGAATCTGCTAGAATGAGTAAGCGCAGCTATGTCCATTCAAAGCTAAACCCATTGCATCCGGCCTATACATTAAATATTGAGCCGGATCCAACCCATCCGGTAATCATTAAGTTATTGCCATTGGTCACCATTATATAGCTGAAGCGTATGATCTCTACTGAAATGTGGTAGGAATGGATTGGAATTTTGGATGAGTTTTGAATGGAGCAGAAATGGAGGACCACCCAATCCGATCCAATCCAATCCAATCTTTATCCATTTCAAAGCTAGGAATCAAATCACAGCAAGTGCAAGCCGCAAGGAAGGAAGTAAAACGGAAAGGCGCGAAGTCAAAACAATCAGAGCAGGAAGAGAGGAAAATGATAGATCGAGAGATTACCGGAGCAGGATCGAAGTGGTCTCTCTTGATCATGTTGCCGAGCATGACGAACATGGTGATAGTCAACACTCCGGCCACCAGCTGTCTCGGATCCACCGCCATTTCTTCTTCAGATCCCAAACTCCTCTTCCTCCTTCTGATCCAATGATTTTATTGGTGCTGGTAATGCCCTATATATCACGGATTCTATCTCTCTCGACTGACTGACTAGTGACTATGAATAATGTATACTGTACTTATAATTAGGACAATTAAAGGAAGAAGAAAATAAAAAGGAAGGCGGAATTGCTAGTCAGCAGCGTACACCATAATCAATCATCGAGCACAGAAGATATACGTATATATATACGAATGACATGTGCGCGCGGGGGAGGACCGTAGAAAGCTGGATGGATGGAAGCAGAGTGAAGAAGACAAAGAAAGGAGCACCGACATTACTCCTATAATGACGACTCGCTGCCCGGGGGCCCCTTGTTTGGTTGGACTCTACTCTCGTCTTTGGTAGGAATAGATCTCAAGGAATCTTTCTTTCACACTCCTTCCTCCCTTTCAATGGTCCAAAGGTGGGATTGCCCACCCCAGGCGCCCCCACCCCCTTGCCCGACAGGAATGGTGGAGGATGTAAATTATGGTGACTCAGTCGGTCAAGAACGCTAGACCCGTGCCCACCGCGCACAAGGAATCTCCTCACCCTTTATGGGATTTTTGGATAGCTCCCACACTGCCGCTTGCGGGACTCGATCCCTGGTCATTGGTCCAAGATTTCACGCTCTTGACCAACTGAGCTACCCATGCGGGCCCTTCCTCCCTTTCAACTTTCCAAGGTTGGAAGAATTAAACCCTTAAAAAGTTGAAAGAAATTAAAAAAAAATTGAAAGAAATTGGAATAAGTTAGACAAATTAGGAGAAATTAGAAAATATTGAATGCTTTAAAGTGTTAAAAATTTACTCTAATAAATATATAACAAAACTTAAATTTTGAATAAATTTTTTTTTATTATTGTTCGTGTTTTGAATGATATGTTATAAATTTAGATATGCAATGTTATTATATATTCATCATATATAAATACTTTTTAAGTCATTAAGAAAAAACTAGAAGATGTTAAAAGGAATTTGAATGTGTTAAAAAAAATGGAAGAATTGGAAAAAAATCATTTTTCTAATTCAAAAGGACATGACCTAAGTCTGAGTAGTGTGCTTCCCTTTTACTTGGTTTATTACGTACTAAAATTATTTTCAATTTATTTATTTATAAGCGTAAAACTTAATAATAAAATTAATATATTTAAAAAACTAAACTAAAAGTAGTAGAAGATAAAAATGACAAGAATGTTTTATTTTATATAATCAATGAAAACATGTAAATAACGTAAAAATGATTTGACTGTAAGAATAGCAAGAAGGTAATTTTGAGACGGAGTGTCTATTTATTACAATATCTGTAACGCCCTAGAAACCAGTCAAGCAGTTAATCATTATTTTAAATAAATAAGTATTAGTTAATTATGAGAAACTAATTCTCTTAAAGAATTAGAAGTTATTTTTGATACTTTAATAGTCCACATGTGATTTATATCATGTGCCAAATTTAATTAAATTAGAATAATATCATATTTAGCAGGTTTGTCAGTGTTACTTAGTCGAGAGAATTAATTAATTACGAAGGCAAATGGCAGTATCACTTTTTCCCAAATTGGAATAACTATAATTTTTTCTCCATATAAGACTTTTTTCTTTTTAGCATCCAAATATACCCATTTAGCTTATGCGTGATTCTATGGTGCACCTTGGGTGCATTCCATTTTTGTGAATTTTTTCACATAATAAATCTTATTTTTTAAATTTTTTATTAAAAAAGAAGATGTTTATTTAAGTAGTAAGGAAATGCTTATTTTGCTCATATGTAGGTCAATGATAAACCTTAGGTCCACCATATAATTTGGCTTAGCTTATATCGTTCCCATTAGCTGGGAATGCGCAAGTGCGCATTGGGTGCCCAACTTAAATTTATTGTAGAAATTAAATCCTTTGTGTATTAGACGTAAGTAATAAAAAAGGTGATGATACATATATGAAATAAATTTCAAAAAAATTAAATATGGCACAAATCTGATTACAAATAATGCATCCATTCACCGGGCTTTGCCAGAGTAGGTAGACAAATTTATTTATTTTTGTACAAGTAATTAAGTATCTATAGCATATGTCATAAGCATTCTTATCTTATTAGGATAGACATATAATACAAGAAGGGTAGGGATCTGCTTTGAAGGCAAAAATGTTTGTAACTTCCTAGTAAAGTAATAAAGTTAACTATTTATAGGTTATGTGATAAACATTCATATCTTATTAGGATAAACATATATTACAAGAGGGGTAGTGATTAGCTTTTAAGGGTAAAATGTTTGTTGCTTCATGGCAATGTAATCAGGACTATGCTTGCTCTTCAATCTTAAGTTTTTTCTTTAAAGTTGGATTGCTTGTGTGCTTCTGAGAGAGGTTGTAAGGATATAGTAGTGAGTACATCTTTCATGCTATTTTTTGAAAAGTTGTTGGGGTTATTTTGACAGCAGTTGTGACATTGATTGATTCAAGAGCATTGCTCAAATTCACACAATCAATCGACTCTACCGGTGCATTGAATTCCAGTGTCTTTACTATCTTTTGGAGCTCTTCGGTGAAGAGGGTGAACTGCAAAGTACTCCTTCCATCGCTTATTTCAACCAAAATTCTAAATCTGCAATATTTGTTAAGGGTGTATTTAACACAAGTGTATTATTCTAACATAAAAAGTCAAAGACTACAAAGTTGAAGTGGTCACCTCTTTGCAGTTGTGGCGTTTTTTTCGCCACATTGCATGCATTCAAAAGTAATTCCTTCTCTAAATTTCACTTTTCGATTTCAGCTACCGCGTCCAATGTAGAATGGAATTCGTGCATTTTGTAAGAAAAAAAGTGAGCATAAACCAAACATAGTATTAGGGAGATATATATGACCCAAGGAGATCTACCTAATAAATAAACAAGGATATGCTGGAATTCTAGAAACAAACTTCCTTGTGTTCAAAGGTAAATCATCATTGAACAAACCAATAGAATAAAGAATAATGTTAACGCCAACACAGTCTTGGTTAGATAGTTTACAAACTGAATACCCAAGTTAAAGGTTTTTACTCATTTAATAGGAAAATTTTCATGTAGATAGCCTTAACATTAGATTCGGTGACACTCTTCCCTCTTACTTTTAATCTCTTATTGAAGTGAAGTAAACAGAGGAACTGTTAGAATAATAGACCAACGCTAGAGGGGGGGTGAATAGCGTTTGATCGGAGAAATCGCAGGAATTAAAAAATTAAAATGGAAGTAAAGGGAAGAGAAAAAGGCACACCGAATTTTACCCTGGTTCGCCACAACTTGTGGCTAATCCAGCCTCCCGAGAGACTCTCTCGAGCTACACTACTTCTCGTTAAGCTTGCGGGTGCTTAACAAACCGTTACAACTTGAGAGTTCGAGTCACACGAACCTCAACGAATCCTTCAAAGGAAACAATCCTTCCTTTGAATCAACCGAGAGAGATACTATCTCTCAACGTGTCTAAGAACACAAGTACACTCAAGAACGAGACTCTCTTATAGAGTAGATTATGAGTAAACTAAGTACGCTCAAAAACAACTCAACCTTCACACAAAAATGGCTCTAGAAAGCTATGAAAAAATGATGATATTTGAATGCAATGAAAGTATAGATGTTGTGAAGTGAATTGGTGAGAAAAGCAGACCCAAACACCCCTTTTTATAGTGCCAAAATAGGCTCCAACGGACCAATGCATTAAAGGGGTGATTGGCTTGATTTATGGGATTGA